CAAACTTGATGAAACTGTAGCAAAACTATTACATTTTTACTTCTCATTATCCATCTAAGCACACAAAAAGAGAAATAGCATTAGAAGTCTGCAAACTTTAATGCGAATTTCATTTTGGTCCTTAATATTCAAAATATAGTATTCAGATTTCCAATTTTTCAAGTTGGTATCATTTAGGTCTTTAGTTAACTATTTTATCCTTTCTTAATTTTAAGTTTATTACAACCATCTTGTTTTCTATCTGCTTAACTCTTAATATCTCCATATCCAAATTTTATAGAATAACACCTTGCCCCAGCTAGCCAAATGATGGAAGGTGGCGACACAAAAGCTTCAAATTGCCTTCCGACTTAAAGCCCTCGAGTGGTGACAGGAAATATAGCGAATTAATGAATTCATCTTGAATTCTAGATACATGATGACTAGCTAACCATTGTTAATGACTTCCCGTGATGGATATCAAGAATCATTGAACATGTTATTTCTAGCTGAACATGGACGGAGCCAGGGGATACAAAAAATATTTTTTATATTAGATTGTTACATACCTTCAAAAAATAAACTGGGTTTGGCTACTCCTCTAATGAATATATTTTATACACTTATTTGGACTTAAAAATATAGATATTTATAGTTCTTTTGAATAATTATAACTCAATTTATTGTATATTTCGTTTATTAAGTGAAACTCGATTAAAGGAAGTGGAATTGAAAGAAGAACGTGAAAATTGATGAAAAAGAGCAAGATTCAAAGTGTGGGGGCTAAAGTGTAAATACTCAAAAGTTGTGTCAAACTTTAGGATGAAAACTGAAGAATGTTAGGGGTCAATTCAATGCAATTATAAGTCCAAAGGGGTGAAATATAACCAAATATTTTCGCGAATCAATTTTCAACCACACAAGGATGTCTTCATCTGGAGATTGAGACTCATTTTTAGCCTAGTAAACATTCGAATTGGAAAAGAACTACTTTTAGTAAAGTTAAAACCATTTGAGTTAGTTTTTCAACACATTTTGAATCGCCTCAATTGAATATTCGAAAAAAAATTATGATAAAAAAATTAAAAGCTGTGCATGGCAACCGAAGTTGACAAGAGCGCTTAGGCACTATCCAATAGTGCCCAAGCGCTATGTTGCTAATTTTTTTTTTCGAAATTTAGAGTCCAAGCGCCTTCTTACCGTCAAATAGGGTTTTCAAGTGCAATTCATCTTTTTAAAAGCCTAATTCAACTAAAACTCTTCCAAAACTTAAAGAAGACATAAATACAACCATAGAGAACACAATTGAGGGGGGATTTCCACACATTGAGAGGAAAACAAATACAACTTGAGATTGAGAGAGCAAGATCAAAGGGGAGAAAAACACATAATCATCAAGATCAAGAAGTAAAAGCTAGGGATTGAAGACTTTTGAGGTTGAAAAAGATTCTTAGTGCAAGATCAAATTCTTTCCATGGTCAATATTTCAAAACCCGATTATGAACTTTATACCTTTTGTTTTTCCTTCCATTGTCATGAGTAGCTAAATTTATTATCAGTGCAAATAATATAACCTTTCGAGACTATTCATTTCTTTTATTCAAGATTTAAGTTCCTTTATGCATATGTGTCGATTTTAATTGTGTTTTCAATTCTCTAGTCAATTATTCAATGATTTCGTGAACAATAGTTATGCATATATATGAATATTTGTTTAGACCACATATTAATTCTAGTAAATTAATATAACGTGTAGAGATACTTATATTAATTACCGCAGTCATATATGAATTTTTAGAACAAATCTTTTGTTTAACTAAGTTTGATTCGCATAGAGACATGAAATTGAAGCAGTTAAATATGTTCAACAAGAACTCGAGATAGATAAATTGAATACAATAGAAAAATTCGACCGAATACTACTTTAGATTTTATGAATCTTGATTTAAGACTTAAAGGTGATCAATAGGTGAAATTGTTCATCCTAATATCCATTTATTATTTGAATTATCAATCAATCTTTGTGTGCATCCATATATTATTGAGTAGTTAGAATAAAAATCACAACCGATCACTATTCCTGTTTATTTTCATCAAATGAAAATTGAAAATAATAAATTAAGTATTAAAGTATAGTTTTCATAGGAACGATAATCCGGACTCATTTGTCCATTATATTACTTGTAATGATCCGTACATTTGCGAGATATAAAATCGACAACAATTTTTTGACCCTTTGCCCTTGGCACTAAATATGATATTCATAACATATTCTATCAACTCATACATCTAGGACTTCAAGATATGTCTTCATATGGATACGCATCTACCATACTAGTTTATAATGAATCAACATAGTTATTTTTTGTCATCTCTTGTTCTTATAGTTAGAAGATTTTTCGTACTCGTACCAATTTTGTTGAGATTTCGAGATTCAATAATAATTTTTAAAAAGTCATAAGAGTACGTAGCTATTTTTAAGTTCTACAAAATATGTATCAACAATTATTACATATTGTTTTTTTTTTTTTTCAAAAGATGATTCATGCATGTACCAAGTACGTGAGTTGATGTAGGACATAATGGGTATATTGGAAAAGGAGTACTAGTAGAAATAAATTATCATCTTGATTTCGGATCGGTCCCATAAGACCATTTTGGAAGGAGAACGACAAAGGGAACAATACTCACTGCTATGCTGTGATGTACGATGAATTTTAGCCATTCGAGTTCGTTTAGGCCTCGAAAACTGATTTTTAAAGTTTTGGCACTATTTTTGTCAATTTGTTTATTTTCGTTTTTTTTTTTACAATTCTAGTTTGTTTAAACTTCTTTTTCATTACTTTTAGTTGTTCTAAACTACATTTTCATGTAAACCCTTATAAATAAGGGCTTAGTTCATTTTTTTATTATCTTTCATTAATAAATTCGTGAATTTATTTTTCTTTATTATTTGGTGGATTCCAAATTTCTTATTCTTAAGATTTTCGCTTGAATTCCTTTCTTTCACTGCGTCAAGTGGTATCGGAGCCTACTTTTCCGTCTCTATATCTTTGATTCATAAACATGGGTGATGTACCAGTTACTATGGCAGATTTAGATGCAACAAACCGACGGATTGACGATCTTAATACTCAGATTGAAGAAATTCGTCGATTGCTTCTACGAGGTGCAGAAAATAATGGGCAGAATAAACAATGAACAATCAATAATGAATGAATGGTTGAGCCTGTAGTTCAGAGAGAAAATAATAGAAGGCGTGTAGTAGAAGACAATGAATCAGAGTCGAAGGAGGAGATTGAAGTACCGTCGCATCATCATAATCGTCAAAATTGAAATACCTTTGATGATTATCGGATCAAAGCAGACATTCCTCCATTCTTTGGAAACATGAAGATCGAGGCTTGGATTGGTTGGTGGAGGTTGAGAGATTCTTTGAAATTATGGATGTTTCAGAGGACAAGATGATTAAAATGGTGGCATTCCGTTTGAAATCTGCGACAACAATATGGTGGGATCAATTGCAGAATACTCGAAGGAGACAAGGAAAGAGTCGGATTTGAACTTGGAGAAAGATGAAGTAGTCTTTGATGGATCAGTTTTTACTTGCGGCTTATGAATAGATTTTATATCAAATGTACCTGGGATGCACACGGGAATCGTACAGTGTCGGACTACACCAATGAATTTATGCGATTGGGAAAACGAAATAATTTGTCAAAATCTGAAAATCAAAAGGTAGCTAGGTATACCAATGGTTTGAAGGTAGCCATTCAAGATAGAATTGGGATGCAGAATATTTGGACGTTGTAGAAAGCCATTAACATGGCGATGATAGAGGAAATGATGGAATCTGATAAGAGGATGGTTTCAAACAGGAGGCCCTTACCTGTCGAATCATCATCATCCACCCATTTAGATAAATGAAAGGCCCCACAACAAGCCCCAGTAAATCCTAACATGAGTAAAGTTGACAACAGTGGTCAGTTTGGGAACAGAAGTCAGACTCGAGGAGCACCTTAGAATGCAAATCCATACGCTAAGTCCACAAGAGAAATTTGCTACAGATGTCAATAGCTTAGGAATCGTTCCAATAACTGTCCTGAGGGAAGCAGGCCAATTTGGTGGAATCAGAGGCAGTAGATGAGGAGAAAGATATTGAAGTGGAAGATGAGTACGCGGGAGTAGAGTTTACTGTGGAGAAAGAAGTAGAAGGACTCACTTTGGTACTACAACGAATCCTTTTATCACCTAAGGAGGAGGGACATTGTTATTGCATCTTTCGTTCACTTTGTTCTATCAAGAATAAAGTGTGTGAAGTGACTGTAGATAATGAAAGTTGTGAAAACTTTGTGTCAAAGAAGTTGGTGAATTCGTTGAAAATACCAGTTGAAAGCCATCCTAAACCGTATTCACTTGGTTGGGTAAAGAGAGGTCCTTCAGTTCAAGTTATTGAAACTTGCAAAGTACCTATTTTCATTGGTAAGTATTATAAGGATGAAGTTATGTGTGATGTCATAGATATGGATGCTTGTCATATCCTATTAGGTCGTCTACGACAGTTTGATGTGGATTCATCTCTCAAAGTGCGTGATAATATAGTACTCTTTTCATGGGGCAGTCATAAGATCGCTATAGTTCCTCTCAAATAGACGGAGAAATCTACATATCAACGAACTGAGAGTTTCGTTACACTTACACATGATGAGAAGGAGATTACGGAGTCTATAAGAGAATCTGATTACTTTTATCCAGTTGTAGTTAAAGGACTTTTTACAGCAAATAAAGAAGATGAAGGCATTCTTCCTGAGGTGCAAGAAATATTGACAAATTTTGAAGATCTGGCTTCCAATGAATTGCCAAATGAGTTACCTCCTACGAGAAATATTCAACACCAGATTGATTTGGTACCTGAAGCTAGCCTTCTAAATTTGCCTCATTACTGAATGAGTCTAAAAGAAAATGAGATTCTAAGGGAGTAAATTGAGGAGCTATTGAAGAAAGGGCTCATAAGAGACGGTATGAGTCCCTGTGCAGTACCTGTCCTTCTAGTGCCAAAGAAGGAGGTAAAGTGGCGTATGTGTGTTGATAGTCATGACATTAACAAGATAATAGTGAAGTACAGGTTTTCCATTCCACAGTTGGAGGATATGCTAGATATGCTTGGGAATTCTAAGGTCTTCTCAAAAATAGATTTTCACAGTGGTTATCACCAGATCCGTATTGAGTCAAGGGACGAATGGAAGACTGCCTTCAAGAGTAAGGATGGACTTTATGATTGGTTGGTAATGCCATTCGGACTTTCAAATGCCCCAAGTACTTTCATAAGGATGATGAACCAGATTCATAGTCCTTTTATTGGGTCTTTTGTTGTGGTGTATTTCGATGATATTCTTATTTGTAGCAAGTCTAAGGTGGATTACCTAGCTCAACTGGAGGTTTTGAAGGAAAATCAGTTGTACATCAACTTGAAGAAGTGTACATTTTGTAGATCTAAGCTATTATTTTTAGGCTTTATGGTAGGTGAAGATGGTCTGCATGTAGATGAAGAGAAGATAAAAGCAATTCGAGATTGGCCAACACTAAAGTCAGTTTCAAAAATAAGGAGTTTTAATGGTTTAGCAACTTTCTACAGATGATTCATCGTCATTTTAGCACTATCGTGACACCTCTCATAGAATGTTTGAAGAAATGAAGGTTCAGTTGGGGAGAGGAACAAGATAAGAGCTTCGCCTTCATCAAAGAAAATTTGTGCACAGTTCCAGTATTAGCCTTGCCAAGCTTCGAGAAGATCTTTGAGGTGGAGTGTGATGCTAGTGGTATTGGTATTGGGGATGTCCTTTCTCAAGAGAAGAGACCCATGGCTTTCTTTTTAGAAAAGTTAAGTGATGCTAGATAGAAATGGAGTACTTATGAGCAAGAATTCTATGTAGCTGTAAGGGCTTTAAAGCAATGGGAACACTACCTGGTGCAGAATGAGTTTGTGTTGTTTACTGATCACCAAGCCTTGAAATTCATTCATGGTCAGAAACACATCAGCATGATGCATGCTCGGTGGGTGAATTTCTCCAGAAATTTTCTTTTGTGATTAAGCATAAATTTGGAAGTACAAACAGAGTTACAGATGCACTGAGTCGGAGAGCTTCCTTATTGATCACATTATCATAGGAAATTGTTGGGTTTGAGTGCTTGAAAGAGCTGTGTGCAGATGATCCTGACTTTAAGGAGATTTGGAATAAGTGTGTGAATCAGGAATCAATGGTGGATTTCTATATTAGTGAAGGATATCTATTTAAAGGCAACCAACTTTGTATTCATGTTTCATCTCTACATGAAAATTTGAATTGAGATCTACATGGTGGAGATCTAAGTGGACACTTGGGGCATGACAAGACAATAGCCAAGCCATAGTTGAAGCAAGATGTTGGAATTATAGTCAGAAAGTGTTATACTTGTCAGGTGTCAAAGGGTCAAGTGCAGAATATTGAGTTGTACATGCCACTTCCTGTCCCTCAGGGCATATGACAAGATCTGGCTATGGACTTTTTTTTGGGATTACCTCATACTCAATAGGAGATAGATTCTATTTTTGTGGTGATTGACAGGTTTTCCAAAATGGCACACTTCATAGCTTGTCGGAAGACTTCAAATGCATCACATATTGCCAAACTGTTTTTCAGGGCGATTGTTAGATTACATGGAGTTCCGAAGTCTATCACATCAGACCGGGATACAAAATTTTGAGGCACTTTTGGATTATCTTATGGAAGTTGTTTGGAACCAATTTGAATTGAAGTAGTATTGCTCATCCTCAAATTGATGGACAGATCGAGGTTAATAACTGTACTCTTGGAAACATGGTTCGAAGTGTTTGAAGAGATAAACCTAAACAGTGGGATCTTACACTACCTCAAGTGGAGTTCGCGTACAACAGTGCAGTTCATACTACTACAGGCAAGTCTCCATTTGCTATTGTGTATACAGAGGTGCCTTACCATGTGGTGGATTTGGTGAAGTTGCCTAAAGGTAATAATAAAAGTGTTGCTGCTGAACATCTAGCAGAGGAAGTGATAGAAGTTCGTGAAGAGGTAAAACAGAAGTTAGAGAAAACTAATGCGAAGAATAAGGCAGCAGTAGATTCACATAGATGGGATAAACAATTTTAGAAAGGTGAATCGATGATCGTTTTTTTTTATAAAAGAGAGATTTTCCGCTGATACTTACAATAAGCTGAAACCAAGAAAGTATGGGCCTTTTAAAGTGCTTAAACAGATTAACATCAATGCCTACATTATTGATTTGCCAGAGTCTATGGGTATTTCTCGTACATTCAATGTGGCAGAATTATATGAATTCCATAAAGCTGATAAGCCTTTGTATCCAGATTATAACTCGGGGTCGAGTTCTTCGGAGGTGGAAGAGACTGATGTAGGACATAATGGGTATATTGAAAAAAGAATACTAGTAGAAATATATCATCATCTTGATTTTGAATCGGTCCCATAATACCACTTTAGAAGGAGAATGACGAGGGGAACAATACCAAAATTTTGACCGTTCGAGTTCGTTTAGGCCTCGAAAACTGAGTTTTAAAGTTTTGGCGCTATTTTTGTCAATTCGTTTTTTTCATTTTTTTTTTTTTACAATTCTAGTTTGTTTAAACTTCTTTTTCATTACTTTTAGTTGTTTTAAACTACGTTTCCATGTAAACCCTTATAAATAAGGGCTTAGTTCGTTTTTTGTATTATCTTTCATTAATAAATTCGTAAATTTATTTTTCTTTATTATTTGGTGGATTCCAAATTTCTTGTTCTTAAGGTTTTCTCTTGAATTCCTTTCTTTCGCTGTGTCATGAATTCACTCATTGCATGTGTGTAAAATCTAGATTATATGGAATCATATTTTAATTTGAAACCTGAAGAACATAGATAAAGAATAGATCGAAAAAATTCATAGCATTTATTGTTCACTTATTAACACAAACTATAGATGGCAATCGTAGTTATTTCGATCAACATTGCACACATTAGTAAAAATGCATGACAAAAAAAAAAAGAAAAAAAAGAAGAAAAAAGAGGAGAAGAAGAAGAAGAAGATATTACCTTCCCCATCAGAAATCAATTAATGATGTTTAGGATCATGTCCTCTGGGACTAACCCTATTAAAATCATAATGATATTCCTCGTCTCTTTAAACTTTGTTTGAACATTTCTTTCGCGCTTTGGATCAATGCACGTTTTGTACTATCCATAAATGGATCACGAACACTAGCACGAGCATGAGAAGATGAGAACAAAAGTGCAATAAAAAAGAAGTAGAACCAAAATTTAAAGCTAGCCATTTAGCATTAAAAGGTTTTGGAGTTTGTACTACGACAGTTTGTAAACTTGGAGGTGAAGCTGGAAATGTGGAGTTAGGAGTGGTTGACTTATATAGAGGTCCATTGTCCGTAATTTTGTCATAGTTTAATGTAGGATGGATCAAACACGACAGTAGCTAGTTAATTTTAATTAAGGGTTCCACTTAGGTTTTTTAGTGGCTGCACCTCTGTGATGCCATGCGATTAATTGCCAATAACTAACTTTGTTCAACAAAAAGTAGAATTTTATTTACTTATCTTATCTAATTATCTATTATAGTGGTACTTTTGAGTTTTGATGTCACATTATTTAATTAATAGACCTCAATAGTGCACATACAATTCAATTTTCGATGTGTATTACAGAAGTGTTTTCTTTATGCCACAATGGTACATTTATTTGGGTATGGAGAAAAATATAAATATAATGTGAAGTCAGTCATAATCAAATTATGTACATCATAATTTTGATTTAAAAAAAAAAAAGAATCTTGCATATACACGAATGAAAATATTGAAAATAAAAATTTAAGTAAATAGTTTAATCTTATTTTTTAAATGACTTAAACATTTAGGTAAGAACGTTATTCGCATACATTAAACATTTAAACATGTACACAATTGTATACTCAATTTGAAAAACAATATACCTTGTTGATGAATTTTTCGGAGCATTTTATGTGTACAATAATGTTATTTGCAGTCTCTCACTACCGCAGTCGTCATACGTAACATACATGTGATGGTTAGTGATTTATTACATAAAGTAATAAAAAACTACCACATTAATGTATTAAATCACTTATCGTCATATGTATGTTACATAGGACGACTACAACTGTGAAAGACTGTAAATAGCATCACTCTTGTGTGCATCACACATATATGTGAAAGTTTCAAAATTTATCCACATCGATGTAATTAGAGCTCTCTATTATGAGACTAAGAATGATCGATGTCTAATAGTGAGTAGGATTTGTTAAGTGTCATTGATAAAGTAGTCTTGTCATAACTTTGTCTCGATAAAACAAATAGAATAGTTCTTCAATTTTGAATCCAAAATGTTAGATAAAATGGTTAAACTTAATTCTCTATTAAAGAAAATCCTCCTCGACGTGTTTGGACTACAGTCATCAAAATAATATAACTCACGAAGGCAGATGACTTGTGACTCAGTTTAGTTGAGAGGAACATTGGTAATTTTTCTGGTTTTTTTAAACTAAAAAGAATGGATTAAGGGTTTAGAACTGTGGAGTTGTGTTTCTCAAACCACGCTTTCATAAGTGAAAACACAATTTTATCCCACTTGCACTCAAATGGACAGTTGGCACTTGGGTATTGGTAAATACAATATCACACGAGTTTTGCTTTCTCTTGGTTACTGTGGACCGTTGATCAGATCCTATGGTTGAGATTCAGTTTTCCAAAATTAAAGACTTTTGAGACTTGGGTTTTCCATTAGTCGGTCAGTTTGAAGTTTTAGTCTCTTGAGTTTCTCTCTCTAGTTCTACCATCACTGTTCACCTTCCTTTCTAAGATCTAGAGATTATTTGGTGGTTTTGTAATAATAATTTTTTGTTATCTGATGATGGTAGAATGTATAGTGCAGTTTTTTAGGCCTTGTTTGTGACTTGTAAATCTATACTGAGTTCTTGGCAAGGTTTTGTCTAGTCATGTAGACTAGGGTTTGTGTTGTTGCGAGATTTTTGTGGATCGATGACCATACTGTGGGTCTGATTTGGTTTTCTCAACTGTTTGTACACTCTCTTGAAGGTTTCTTGCTGGTGACGGGCTTACCTCTGAGCCCCCCAGATTAGGCCGTGTTTGGCTATATTGGGTAAACAATCTGTGTGTTTGATTTCTGTTCTTGATTTATTTATTTTTTTACTATTTGACGATTGCTTGTGGGTTTTGGGTCGATATTCCTTAAAATCTGGTATTAGAGCCCAAATTTTAAGGCATCTATATAATACACCTTGCCCTGAGGATATTTTGTGTGTTGAGGAGTGTAAATCTTCATGGTTATTCCAGTCCTTTCTTGATTTGCAGTTTTTTGATTTTTTCCTTCTCTTGAATTTTTTTATTTTGTCCAGATCTGTAAAGATCTACACAGACAGTAAAGGAGGCTAAATCTTTTGTTCAGTGTGTAGGTTAAGAAATACAAGTTGGTCAATTCTTGGCCGGTTCTAACCTTGGTAGGTGATAGGGTGATCCTTTAATTCTTTTGATTGCACTGTTGTTCAACAGTGTTGTGGGTAAGATCTTCCCTTAAAAGAACTTGTATAATTTGGTGCAAAAAATTAGCATGTCTACTGCATTGTGGATTAATTACTGATATTGTACATTCTACATTGATAATTAATCTGACAATAGGAGCATGTGTAGGTATTATACAAAGTTTTTTTATATTTGTTGTGTAATTTTTCGAATTCTCAATACGTTGACTGCTTGGGCAAATTGCTTCAGTTGTGCTAGTTAGGATAGTTGATTTTCATTCGATGATTTGATTTCTTTTAAATCAATTAGGAAGTTTTTGGTTCTTGAGTGATCATAAATTGAGGTGTTAGTCATGGCTTCCAGTAGTAACCACTCTTTTAAAGAACCTATGATGGGTTCGAAGGTCGAATTGCCACAATTCGATGGAAAGAGGGATTACTCCATCGGGAAGCAGAAAATGAGGGTCATATTGGTCCAACAAAGGGTTGCTAAATCCCTGGATGACCCTGATAAATATTTTGATGAACTTAAAGCCAAACCTGATGAGATTCTTGAAATGAATGAAATAGATTATAGCTCAATTATCCTGCACTTATCTAATAATATAGTAAGGCAAGTAGAGGAATCCAAAACTACTAGGGATCTATGGACAACCTTAGATAACCTGATCTTGACCAAGATTTTACCAAATAAAATTTACCTCCTAGAAAAACTGTTTAGTTTTAAAATGGATGACCAGAAAAACCTAGAGGCCAATCTGAGTCATTTTAGCATACTGGTGAAGAGTCTTGCTCATAATGATAAAAAATTTGAAGATGAGGATCTTGCAGCGATCCTTCTAAATTATTTATCTGATTCTTATAAGGATATCATAAATGTTATAAAATACTCAAGAGATACTTTAACACAAACAACTTAACTAATGCACTAAGATCTAGGGAATTGGAAGTTAAGAAATAATTAAACCCAATTCAAGAGAGGAGAGTTTATTTGTGAGAGGGAGACCAGAAAAGAGGGAAAATAATTCACGGAATAAAAGATTCAAGTCCAAATCCAAAATCAGATCTAAATCAAGAGACAAAAGCAATAAAAAAATGCTATCATTGTGGAAAACTTGGACATTTCAAAAAAGATTGCTTTGAGTTAAAGAAGAAGCTGAAAGAACACATCAACATTGAGTTAAATAATGCTGCTGTGAGTTCTGAACTTGATAGCCTTCTTGTAATGACGGTTACAAATGAAGAAACAGATACTGACTGGATTCTAGATTCTGGATGTACTTTTCACATGTGTCCAATAACCTTGGTTTTATAACTACAAGGAGATAGAACCCAGGAAAGTATATATGGGTGATAACAATTCACAAAATGTTCTTGGAATTGGTGACATTGCAATCAAAATGTATGATGGCATTGTCAGGCAGATTAAAAATGTGAGTTATGTCCCAAATCTAAAAAGAAACCTAATTTCGTTGAGAATTCTTGAAGATGAGGGACATACATTTAAATTTGAAAACAACACTTTGAGAATCTTGAAAGGATCTCTTGTAGTCATGAAGGGGCCAAAAATGAATGGGCTATACTACTTAATGGGAGAAACAATTAATTTCCAGGACTCAAAATCTTTAACTATAACTGAAAGCAAATGTGAACTATGGCATTGTAGGATGGGTTATATTGAAACTAAGGGCTTGAAGTATCTTAATGTCGAGAAACTGTTTGGAAAAGATAAAGTTGAGCATCTTAACTTTTGTGAAACATGTGTGTTAGGGAAGTCTCATAAAGTGAGTTTTGAGAACGGGTCACACACAACGAATTGACCATTAGTCTATGTCCATGCAGATTTATGGGGACCAGAAAACCACCCAACCTTTGGTAGAAATAATTATTTTCTTTTTATAATTGATGATTATTCTAGAAATTTCTGGACCTACCCTTTGAAATCCAAAACTGAAACTTTTCAAAAATTCATATTGTGGTTAAAGATGGTTGAGAACCAATTGGACAAGAAATTGAAAACCTTAAGGACAAATAATGGACTGAAATTTTGCAACGCTGAATTTGATAATTTTCGCAAGCAAAAGGGAATAATTAGAAATAGAACTGCTAAGCACACAACCCACCAAAATGGGGTTGCTGAAAGAATGAATAGAACCCTTATGAATAAGGTAAGATGTATGCTGATAAGTTCTGGGCTTGCAAAAAGGTTTTGGGCAAAAGCTCTATGCACGACTGCCTACCTTATAAATAGGTCCCCTTATAGAGTTTAAAAGTCCAAAGGATCTATGGACTAGAAAACCACCAAATCTGTTACACTTAAGAGTCTTTGGATGTGTTGCATATGCACATCGTTAACACCAGAAGTGTGTTATGCTTGGATACCCTGAAGGGGTTAAAGGGTACAGGTTATGGGTACTTGGTATTAAGGGAATAAAGATCATTAACAGTAGAAATGTAGTGTTTAATGAGTTTGAGATGCCTAGCCTAAAGAATAAAATGGATAAATCAGATCTGGTTGAAAATGGTACTTCCCAAAATGAGGTAAAGTTGGCAAGATTAAGTAATAAAAAATCTGAGCCCCCTCAGATTAGGCTGTGTTTGGCTGAAGTGGGTGAACAATCTATGTGTTTGATTTCTGTTCTTGCTTTGTTTTTTATTATTTGACAATTGCTTGTGGGTTTTGGGTCGATATTCCTTACAAGAACCAATATTATAGAGGCCGTCGAATCCCATTAAATTAAGAAACAGGTGAGGTAAGGAGCTCACACGGATTTTAAACTTCATTTCATTTATCATCCCTTAACGTTATCCACTGACTAAATATTCCTACAAATAAAGTGTTCTTTTCTTCATTTTTTTATTTTTCACGCTTGACTTTACCTAAAAGTAACTTAGCTCCCATTTGGCCCCCATTAAATCTTATTTTATTTTTCTCTCCTATTTTCAATCACACAATCTTCCATAAAATAATATTACGCTTGAATCGAAAAATTTTCATTCTTTTTTAACCACTCATTTTTTTTAAAAAAAAAATATTATTTCACCCATTTTCATTTCAAAAAAAAGGGGGACCAAAACGAGTCTTAATACATTTAGGCCACATACTTTTTGATTTTTAATGTTTGTTTTTTGTGGTAATATAACTTACTTTATAAAGTACTTTCAAGCACAAGTAAATATATTATGAATGTTAGAGAAGTAGTTATCATCAAATAAATGATAATTGATTTAGCCCCTATTTGGTGGAGATTAAAATCATATTTTTAGTAAATTTTGATAAAAGTTGGTGAAATATGTGATTAAAAAATTATGTATCCCATAAAATGTATGGTTAAAATTAATTGTTAATTTTAATTTCTATCAAAAAGAGGAAGATAAGTCATTCGTAATTTCGTAGTTTGAGGACACATCTGTCTAGATATCATGCATTGTGTCGCCCTTCACGTGAAGCATGGTATTCGAAGGTCATCGTTGGATATTGGCCTCCTTGTACTCTTGCTGTACAGTTGGTATAAATGTGATCCAACATTGGCTTATATCTCAAATTGGACTTTTTCGAAGTTCGCTCGTCATTACTTGTGAGTCTTTTTTTCCTCCCTCCTTCTATTGAAAATTTTAAACTTAAATGGTATATCACTTGGATTCGATGTTGACGTTTCACAAGCATATTGACTACGAAACTTTGGTCATTGCCTCAATTCATGTTGGTCCATATCCCATTTCGGTAAGCAAACCACTTTGTATGATTCCACATCTGATCCCAATGCATCGCAGTCCCCATCCCCTGAATATCGATGTTTTCCTCTGGTGTTAAACTCCACACCACGTTCCAGATAATTACAAAGAATCAAGATGCCTCTTCTTTTGATATTGGCAATCAGAAGAGCGGAATAAGTGGCTAATCACAAGCATGAAAAAATCCTAAAATCATTTTTATAACTTAGGAGCATTATTGGTTGGTGTAGCCAATTAGACTATTGGAGGGAGAGTGGTGAAGTTGTTAATATTAAGAAGGATATTGGGGCGACTATCGTCACTAGCCCATAATGGATTCCACTACCCTTTCCCTTTTGCAACCCAAACTCAAAAACTGCCGATGCCAACCAAACATTGCATAATTTGACTTCACTAAAATGACTTTTGATTTCTTTACCTTTATCTCACCATCTATTTCTTTTCCCTCTACATCCCATGTTGTCTCACTCCCCTGTCTGGTTTTGACACGAGAGAAGCTCGCACGATGGGGTTATAGAAGGGAACAAAACGTGGAAAGAGGAGATACATCAATGAGAAAGGGGACTGGTGTATAGGGTTGAGGATGAAGACAAAGAAGATCAAAAGTACTACTTGTTTACACTATCAATTAAAATAAAACTATTTTTCATGCATGCTAAAAATGCAATTTCCATGAAAATAAAAGGGAATTTTATGCATAATATTTTTGACCAGCATATGATATGTCATAGAGTTCAAAACAAAAATTAAGGAAGAAATCTTTAATTTTGAAAATGAAGACGTCGATACAAATTATGATCGATACTGATTATAACGACGTAAGTTACTGTCTAAGGTTCCTCGTAAATAAGGGTCCCCTTAATTGATTTACTCCATGTGTTTTATTTTTTTGGATATCCTCTCACCCATTATGTGGAGTAAACCCTACAACTTAAGGATTTTGAATCTATTTATCGCTTTCAGTTTTTAATAATTTGGGCTCTGCTTTTTTTTTTTTTTTTATATATATTGGTAAATGTAAATTATATTGCTCAAAAATTTATGTACAGATAATGCGGGCAGACCCAAGCATTAAAAAAATCAAGTAAAATACAGTTACACCGGGTATTCCCGGGCAAAAGTAAAGATCAAATGAAACACAGTCGAGACAATCTATAAACCCATGGCTAAAGACTCACAATGAACTAAAACATACGGGTACAAGGAGAACATGACCTTATACACATGTGTTTTAATTCGTCTTACAACACTATCAACTAATGGTTGAAGATTCTCAAATACCTTTTTGTTTTGTGCCATCCATATGTGGTAAACTGTGCTAGCCAAGGCAATCCGCTTGACTTTACTTTGCCAAGAAGTTCCACGACCCTCTTTTTTGATCCATTTCAATGAACTAGACAATGTAGACATATATCTTGTAATGCATAGCCACTGTCGAATAAGTCCCCACACATTGGAAGTGAACGGACATCCAAAAAACAAGTGTTGGTTTGTCTCGGCAACCAGTCCACAAAGAACACAATTTTGGTCTATCATCAAGTACTGCAGTTTATCCTTAGTGAGCAATCTGGAAAGGGTAGATAACCAAAGCATAAAGGAATGCTTGGGTGTAATGTAAGGAGCCCATACGTCCTTGCTCTAGCTTTTAACTATCCCTCGCGGTTGAAAGAATTCATAGGCCAAAGATGTGCTAAAATTTTCCCTAGATTTCCATCCCATCAATCTGTCCAATGCTGTTTGTACATTAGTGCCAGCCTCAAGTGACTGGTCACCCTCCCTAGGTTGCTTCAATTCATCCCTGATTTGGAGCAATTTTTTGATCAATGGAGAGTCATCTTTTCTTGGAACAACCTCCCAAATACTCACCCCATGGAGGTAAATATGATTTATCCATCGGACCCATAGCATGTCTTTTTTGTTGTGTATGTTCCATAGGGATTTAGATAACAATTCTGAATTCTAACTCTTGATGTCTCAGAAACTAAAACCCCCTTCATTTTTCGAAAGGCACACATCTTTCCAAGATACTAATAGTTTCTTTCCACCCCAAAGAAAAGTACGGTAGAGGCTAATGATGCGTGTCGAAATAGATGCCGTTATAGGGAAAATGGACGATAAAAAACATTCCACTCTTTAGCAAACTGCCCAATTAATTCTGCTATTCCTGCATATAAAAGAGATGAGCCTGTCTATCCATTAATATACGCTGAAATTTTTTCTAAAATTGGTGCATAGCAGCTGATTTTTAGTTTCATAGATGCAAGCGGAATACCCAAATAACGAAAGGGCGTGGTATCCTTCGACATACTAGTGAGTTCTTGGATTTGTTCAAGTTCCACACCATGAATTCTAGCTGTATAAAGGCTGGATTTTAAGATATTCATCTTTAAACCCGATGTGGTACCAAAGATATTCAAGCATTGCACGAGGATTTTAACCGACAAGACATCTCCTCTAGCAAAGAGCATCAAATCATCCGCAAAAGCTAGATGTGTAATCTTTAAGGGACCATGTTTAGGATGGAAATTAAATTCACTATCTTTGGTGGCAACTTTTATCAATCTTGAAAAATACTCCAAGCATCAAACAAACAAAAATTGGGAGAGTGTGTCACCTTATCGGATACCTCTTCCACCTTTGAAGAATCCATGAAGACTCCCATTTGATGCAATAGAGTACATCGGTGTGGTAACACATTCCATGGCCCAATTAACAAACTTTGTGGGAATGCACAATCCTTGAAGTATTCCTTTAAGGAACTCCCAACTAATGGAGTCGTAAGCCTTTCTCAAATCAATTTTAAACACACATCTAGGAGAAACGCTTTTTTGATTGTATTGTCTCAATAATTCTTGGGGAAGATGTATGTTCTCCACCATGCTTCTTCCCTCGACAAAAGTGGCCTGTGCTTGGTCAATAATATCTACTAAAATAGGACCCAATCTGTAGGCTAGGATTTTAGTGATGACATTGTAAAATACATTACAACACGCTATGGGTCTATAGTCTCCAACAGCATTTGAGTGGCTAGATTCGGGTATCAAAGCAATGACCATGTTATTCATTTGCTTAAGTAACCAACTCGATGTAAATAATTCTTTGATAGCTCCCACAAAATCACTTTGAACAATGGCCCAAGACTTCTTAAAGAAGCACGAAGTATAGCCATCAGGTCCCGGGGATTTGTCATCTCCAATGCTAAAAAGAGCATCTTTAATTTCCTGTGTAGTAATATCCCGAGTAAGGGTGCTTGCTTGCTCCAAAGAGACCAAGGGGCCTTCCCTTATGATAGCCGAATCCAAGGCCTGAACTGGACTGCTCGATCCTAACAGCTGAGTGTAAAATTGAATAAATTCCTCCGCAACCTGATGTTGATTCTCAGTATATGATCCATCCTCCTTGAGCACTTTTTCTATGAAATTTCTCCTTGTGTTCCTCTTGACAATAGAATGAAAAAACCTAGTGCATTTATCACTATTCTTTAGGTAATTTCACTTAGCTTTTTGATAGAAGAAACTCCTCTCTGCTTCTCCAAGAAAAATAGCTTTCTTTCTCAATCCAGCCACCAAGACTTGTAACTGCCCATTACAAGGCTAATCATGGAGTTTAATCTAGGCAGCTTCTAACTCCTTCTTGGCATTATTGGCTCTAGTCGAAATTTGCCCAAAATGCTTGTCATTTAGCACATTCAATTTCCCTTTAAGGGACTTTAATTTTCTATAGAGGATAAACTGTTTTAAACCCATCTTGCTCGAATTCCAACATGTTTGTACCAGTTCACTATAATTTTCATGGGTTGTCCACATGTTGAAAAATCTAAACGGTTTCTTTGTGCTCCCTTCTTGATCAAACACTGAGTATATGCAAGGGGAATGATCTGACAAACAACCCGGAGGGAAAAATTCTGCAATGCCATTAGCTCCTACTTGCATCCAAAAATTATTGACCAAGACTCTGTCAATTTTGCTCCAAGTGGAATTATTAGTCCAAGTGTAAAAAAACCCTATGGACCTCACATTCGTAAGCCCAACGTTAATGTAGCAATTGGCAAAATCTTTAATTTCATAGGGGGTAACCTCCGCACCATTGCTTTTTTCCTCATACGTAAGCACATTGTTAAAATGCCCAAGGATCATCCAAGGTAATGATAGATTCGAGCTATGCTGCAAAATGTTATTCCAAAGAGGCCTTTGACTGATAATAGTATGAAAAGCATAGACAAAACTAACAAGGAAGGTAAAAGAATTTACCTTACACGTGGCCATACAATGAATGACTTGCTACGTAGTCTCTAGAACTTCTAGTTCAATCTTTAACGGATTCCACAATATCAAAATTCTTCCCACTTGGTGGGTTATGAAATTATTGACTTGCAATAACCCGTTGAATTTATTCCTCATAATTCTCTCCAACTTCCATTCTCCAAGTTTGGTCTCCAATATACCCATAACATCAATATTGTGTTGATTGATGAAATTACGAACCCCATTTTCTTTAAGGGAACAGTTCATGCCCCTTATATTCCAAAATGCGATCTTCATGATTAAATGAGGAGGGGTGCCCCCTTCTTAGAATCCTTCTTGTTGGCTGATGACATTTGCTCATCTACATTCCCCTTAAGTTTGTCAGAGGTTGAAGTAGAAACTACCCCTTGTTGATCACCATTAGATTTTTGGTGCTGTCTATCCTGAGGTGCATGATTTCTGCCTCATTTTTGAGCAAACTAAAAAGGTTTGACTTTCTAAATGTCTACTCGTTTTAACATTCACTAGGATGCCCTCATGTGGAAAAGAGAGCCCAATTTTCGAATTACACAAATGGAATAATTGGTTTTTGGAGCACTAATTCGTTATCAAAAGCTATCTACTTTTTCCATGATGAGCCATATTTATGGTTATCTTGTTTGATAGAAGCTATTTGTCTTTTAATATCGTTAGCATTAGAAAAAGAAAAACAAAAGTTAAAGCACATTACTATTTCATCAGTGAAAATTATGTATCCACCTTCAAAAAAAAAAAGGAAGAAGAAGAATGACATATTTAGTTCTCATTATTGAACTGTACGACGAATTTCGTATATTAAAATACAGAAATTGTTACAAAATGTATTTTGATAAAATACAAGTTATGTTGACCTTCTTGTAATTGCAAAATTACAAAAATCCTCTGATTAATGATCAGAATATTTGAAGACGAGGGGTCACGTGGTTTGAATCCTGACCTTCGAGAATTTGTTGAAAAATTAATTTGTTGAGACTTGACTTGTTCGATACTCGAACTTCGGGGTTTGAACTTGAACTTGAATTTAATTTGATTTGATTTGAAAAAGACTTTGATCTTTTTGGACTTGGCGTGAACCTGTTTGATTCGAAGAAGATTTTGATATTCTTGGGGTTCACCAAGTTTATGTTTGAGAGGATTCCTTTCCTTCTTCCGGCCTTAGAATTTCTTCGGCACTTTGTGATTGCGTTCTTTGCTTTCTTTCTTGCTTCAACTTTCACATCCTCTTCTACTTGTACCCTGTTTTATGGACCATTGGTCCTATTAATAGGGGAGAATTTGTGCTACTTTTGGTAATTACTCAATTACATTTAATTAAAAGAGATAATTGAGTAATTATGATTTTATTTATTTATTTAAAATGTGGTGTGGGCCTTTGGACTTATGGACCTTAGTAGACTTTAATTTAATTGGGCTAATGGTTTAAAATCGACCCAATTCATTTATTTTATTTTATTTTATTTTTAATGTCTACAAATGTCCCCTCAAGATTTATTTATTTATTATGAAATAAATAAATTAATAAATCTTGACTTTCGATTTTATTTTTGATTTGTTCGACTTCGATTTTTTTTCTTTTTCTTATTTGGTTTGGTCTCAAATATCTCATTGGCAAATTAATACAGATGAAAATGTTGAGAATAAAATATGATTTTGACGAAATTATTATCCTTCAAATTTCAGAATAAGAATTTATTTTATTTTATTTTTTTGTAGAATTTTGATTATTTATTTATTTTATAGACCCATAACAAATTTGATTTGAACAAACCTTTTTACGTTTCATAGTAAATTGGGCTTAAATGAAGTCCATTATTTGCCTATTTATACGAATGCATTATGAGACTTTGGAACAAGTCTGTTATATATTGCAAACAGAGGTAAACAAATTATTTTATGTTATTTTATTATTTTTTTCGTCTCTCTCGTTTTTCTCTCTTTTTAGTTTTTTTTCGCTTGGTTTTCTGCGCAATGGCAGAAACCAATTAATTGGTTTCTGCGTTTTGTTCAGAAAACCCCACTTTTTTATTTTTGTTTTTGTTTCTTCTTCCTTTCTTTTTCTTTTTGTCATTATTTCTTTTTTCCCTTTTTTATTTTCTTTTATTCCATTTTTTTGTTAATTGCTGTTATTGTTATTATTTTTTAATTTTAACAACGTTGGAACTAATATTATTATTATTATTATTATTATTATTATTATTATTATTATTATTATTATTTTCAGGGATTCAACTTTTTGGATTGAATCAAGATTTTGAGGTTCAAAATTTTCTTCGTGTAGAGGTTAATTTTTTTTTATATTGCAATTATTTCATGAGTTCAGGAAATATATGCTTATGAACAAATTTAAAATTACAAACCTTCATACACGTTGAGGACTAAGGACTACCACTTTTCACTATCCATACACTTTTTATTAGGGACTAAGGACTTCCTCTTTCGACCGTCGAAAACATTTCGTGTTGAAGACCAAGGACATGTTCCTTCGACTATCCAAGATACTTTGTATTAAGGACCAAGGACTTGTGCCTTCAACTGTCCAAGTCATTTTATGTTAAGGACCAAGGACTGGCTCCTTCTATCGTCCAAGGCACTTTCGATTGAGGAACAAGGACCGTTCCTTCAACTGTCCAAAACACTTTGGGCTAAGGACTAAGGACTCATTCTTTCAACTGTCCAAGGCATTTTGTGTTAAGGACCAAGGACTAGCTCCTTCCATCGTCCGAGGCACTTTGTGTTGAGGACCAAGGACCGTTCCTTCAACTGTCCAAGACACCTTGTGTTGAGGACCAAGGCCTGTTCCTTCAACTGTCCAAGACACTTTGGGTTAAGGACCAAGGACTGGTTCCTTCTATCGTCCAAGACATTTTGTGTTAAGGACCAAGGACTGACTCCTTCAACTGTCTAAGGCATTTTGTGTTAAGTACCAAGGACTGACTCCTTCCATTATTCGAGGTACTTTGTGTTGAGGACCAAGGATCGTTTCTTCAACTGTTCAAGACACTTTGGGCTAAGGACCAAAGACTTGTTCCTTCAACTGTCCCAGGCATTTTATGTTAAGGACCAAGGATTGACTCCTTCCATCATCCAAGGCACTTTGTAGAGATTGCTTACATATTTGGAAGACTAGTGATTTTAGATAATGAACCAATTTAAGAGATTTACTGCCTTTTTTTTTTTTTTTTTGCAGGCATGGCTGGAACTAGTTCTGATGATAAAGTGTACTCTGACATACATGAAATTGTTGAGCTTAAAAATTAAGGTAAAAGTTATCTGCGTTTCAAAGACACTGATGTGAAGTACCATGCCCAGACTGGCGTACGAGGTTAACTTAAATTTAGTGTCCATAAGCCAACGACAGATCGTTCCCCTAATCTTCTGGAGCCATCGTCGGAGTTGAATATGTCCACCATTAGTGAATGTCACGGGAGTTTGGATACTGACAAGTCCAACTGTTCTAGCAGTCATCTTCCCTTTTTGTGTCTTCCGCCTCATCACTCCAGAGCATGGAGTGCATCCCAAAGGCTGTAATTTGTGAGAGGATTGATAATAGAGAGATATGATGGGAAAGCGCGTTGGTCAGTCGAGGAGAAATTTCTTTTCTTCAAAAATTTTGGGAGTGGTCTTTATGTGTTCAAAAACTTCGACTTAAGAGGAATCTTCGCAAGTTAGCTTTTGCAGTCGATTCTGCTACAAAAGATTACAATTGCTCGAACTCTATTTATAGAGCTCTTTGTGAGGTCTGGTGTCCAGAGACCAACACCTTTATGACTGCCAATGGTAAAATTGGCATTTCTCTTTGGGACATCCGCGAGATAAGTCGACTTTCGATCATGGGTCATTACTATGAAGAAGTAGTCCCAAGCCTTTCAGAGTTGACGGATCATCTTCCTAAGTCTTGTCTATACCTCTTTAATGTTTTCGTATTGATTACCCATGCGAATGAATCTGACAGGGTTACTCACGAACAATGGATTAATTTTTGGTTTCACAAGAATAGTTGTGTCCAGAATCCTCGACAACATAAAAATTATAAGAATGCTATGAATTTAATCCATTCAAGAGGTGTTATCAAAGAGCATTGAATGAAATACAAAGGCCAGTGGTGGTAGACAAGCTGAGAGACATTACTCTTAGGGATCGATATCATTGGAGTAATTTGCCAGTATCTCTGTCCGTGGAAGAAGAAAATGAATTAGAGATAGCAGCCTATCTTTCCCTATGGCTTTGTCGCTTCGTTCTTCCATTTGGGGATGAAAGTATAAGAGTTGGGACCTTTAAAGCATCTTCTTGAATGGCAGGCGGA